AAAAGGCTATCAGGTTCACCACTCCAGTTTCAGTCACCAGCCATGCGCTCTGGCTGGCAGAGTCTCCAGACTGGGATGCCCCTCCCAGTTATTTACCTCGGTTGAGCCCTGGAGGTGAAGTCGCTGTTTGCTTTTTCCAGTCCAAAGGGATCCCTTTTTGCACAGCTTCCAGGGCTTGGCTTGCTCTGAAGCCACGGATGCTCGATTGACAAATACATTTATTATTATTATTATTATTATTATTATTATTATTATTATTATTATTCATTAGACATAAAACTCAGCCAACTGAACGTTCAAATTGGCTGCCGCTGATGGTTGACACGGGTTGCTACCAGCATCCCAGGTGTCAACCAGGTACTTCCTTAAAATATAAGATGTTCCGAGTAAGCGCACTTTTTTGCAATATTGGTGGAGTTACTGCAGGAAGCTGCAGTTTCTTGATGCATTTTGCAAAATTTTTGGACATAGTTCCCGGTGCCCCGATGACAATGGGTATCCCTGTTACATGTTTCATCCATAATCGTGCAGTTTTGATGGCCAGGTCGCGATATTTCATAATTTTTTTCCAGTTCTTTTTCTTTGACTCTGGCATCTCTTGGCACAGCGATATCAATCAGCTGTACACTTCAGTTATTATTATTATTATTATTATTATTATTATTATTATTATTATTATTATTATTATTATTTGATGGGCTGCTTTATCATTGGTTTCGTTTGAAACCGCAGCCCCAAAACAAGATTAGGGTGGCAATTGTTTTAAAGATTGTAAGGGCGGCTGGAAGTTTCATGTAGGCCAACACTTACTTATGTACTTACTCACGTTCTGAATTGTTTGTTTGTTTACTTATTTATTTATTTATTATACACTAGCTTAATGAAAAGAAGAACTAGGAGTGTCATGATAGTAGTCTTCCAATATCTCAGGGGTTGTCACAAAGATGAGGGGGGATCAAGCTATTCTCCAAAGCACCCAATGGCAGGACAAGAAGCAATGAATGGAAACTAATTAAGGAGAGAAGCAACCTGGAACTAAGGAGAACTTTTCTGACAGTGAGAACAATTAACCGGTGGAACAGCTTGCCACCAGAGGTTGTGGGTAATTCATCACTGGAGGTTTTCAAAAAGAGATTGAATAACCATGTGCCTGAAATGGTGTAGAGCAGCTCCGTGGACCGGTACCGGGCCACGGCATGCCAGCAACCAGTCCGCACAAACAAGCAGAGCCCCATCCCCGGGATGCAGGCAGCACGCAAAACCATGCACTCTCCAGTCCACAGAAAAATTTCTCTCCACGGAACCGGTCCCTGATGCCCAAAAGGTTGGGGACCTCTGATGTAGGGTTTCCTGCTTGAGCAGAGAGTTGGACAAGATGACCCCCAAGGTCCCTTCCAACTCTGTTATTCTGTTATTTATTTATTGCAACCCCTCTGGTCTGAGTGCCACAAGACAAGGATGTAGACGTTCCTGCTGCAAACAGGTGGGGAAAAAAAACCCTCTGAACTTAACATAAAGCCTAAATGCTTAAAAAAGAAAAAATTCCCCCCAAACTCCTGGAAAAAACAGAAACTGTTGGTTCAAACTTGTGACCTAATGCCAATACACTTTGCATTATCAGCCCCCTCTGTGGGTCAAGAAATATGGACATTAAATTAACATCTTGGCAGAAATGTCCTTATGAGTAAGCAGTGATTCATTGAAGGAAAGCTACTAGTAACTGGTTGGGAATGCTAAAAACAGTAAACTTTGGGGTGGATAATGTCATTACATAGTTAAGTCTCTAGGTGGCACCAGGCTTAGATAATGGTGGCCTTGATAAGGAACCACTTTCCGTTTGTACTTCTGTTCAAGTTAGGTTTCAGGACAAAGGGTTAAATCAAGGGAGAGGACGATGGGCCTCAAAGTTACCTATCTATGATGGAATGCATTAATGAGGAGGATCCCCAGGAGGGACGGGGTGGAATCCATAGGACTAAGAGGCAACTCAGCCCAGAGAGCTTGTGTGAGAGAAAGAGAGTGAAGACAGCCCCTCCTCAACAGTTCCCACAGTATATTGTAAATGCAGATAGCAGAGTCTTCTGCCTGGCAAGATTCTGTCTATAGGTGTCAAACAATAAAGAACTCAAGCTTGGAAGAATCCCCATGTGTCATTCTTGGTTTGGGATTTGACCTCATCCATAGCTCGCATTTCTTGGGCAACCAGCTGAGCCAATCACAGTCTTCCTCGGTGGGGTGAGTTATATTGGATGTTTATTTCAAGTACAATCGTGATTTCTAAACCAACATCATTTATGGGTTGTTCATCTCCTTTAAACCGAGGGTTGTCCTCAGCTATCTCTTCTAAGAGAAGCGACCTTCAAAAAGAGGATTTCCACAGCCCTGTCAACAAGGTTGAAACGCATCAAAAAAAAAACCTGGGTTGTTTTTGTTTTTGTTTGTAGAATGGTCAACCTCAATTTGAAAAAGTGGGCCAAGGAAGCCATTCACATGGATTGTGGTTTATTGACTTCCTGCCCAATTTTAGGATTGCTGATTTTGCTCCTAGCCCTTATTAGAGAAGACCCATTTCTTTGGTTTTGGAATATTGAGCTGTTGTGTATACAAGAGCACAAACAACAGAAATATGAGTCAGCTTCAGCTTTTGTCCATGGCTTGTAACAAACCAAGCCAGATTATTCCTCACTAGCTTGCCAATGATCTGGGAAAGAACGATCCAGGAAATCACTCAGGGGTAGGCGAAAATATATATATATCTATATCTATATATAAATATTTACACATATAATTATTATACATTATATAACAACACATTCAATTTCTAGAGATATACATTTTATATAACATTATTCTCCATAGCTTATTGTGAAGCAGAGAGAGGATTAAGAAGCCAAACTAAAAAAGAGTTATTTGTTAAGTCTGCATTGCATACCTACAATATTTTTTAAGTGGCTCTATGCAATAGTTTAAAAAATACATAGATACACAAACACACACACATATATATATATACCGGTATGTAGAATATTTTAGTCTTGGGATCAGACTGTACAATTATGTAACATAATTTAAAAAGCAAGTACTTGACTTAAAGATTCTTTTCCTCTTTTACAAATATTTACAGTGCTCTACACTTAGAAATCCATGTTCAGAACCTCACCTATCCATTCACCCTCCTCAATTAGCAATAAGAATTTATTTAGAAAAAAACAACTGCAAAACACACAAGCAACTTCTTGGAAGAAAACCACCTTCGGACAAGGTTCCAGAGCAGCTCATTGGATCAAGAGAGATCAGCTGGAACCTGAATATAAAGGCATCTAGGAAGCGGTGGAGTGGGAATGGGTTGATTCTGGGATCCATCTCTCTGCATTCCTAAATCGACTCCTGTTAAATTCCAGTTTCCTTCACATGCTCAGGCTCACCAGCCTACTAACAGGTTGAAAAAGGTAGCAGGTTGGGTTGTAGAAAAACAGCAGGCTGGTATGTCACAAGAGAGAGAAAGAGAAAAATAAATAAATAAAATCTTCAGCCCGACTTCTGGTGATGAGAAGGACGCATCCAAGTTGTCTTCTTCGCAACATCTTGGAAGTGGTTAGTTGTTCCTTTTGGTTAGGCCTTGCTTTTTTTCCCTTTCAACTTTACCATGTTGTCTACAGTTTGGGATCTTCACTGGCTCCCCTCCATGAACCAATCAGGGATACCTTGGGCAATGTGGACACAGATGTATTTTCAAGGTGTCTGCCAGTTTGGGACACATCTCCCAAGGTTGGACACCCTTAAACCCACCATTTAAAGTTGGGAATTGGAGGGTGAAAACTTCCCCAGCTTCTCCCAAGGGGAGAAGATGTTCTCCAATCTTTCTTAGAAGCATTGCTTGGCTTAAATGATGGTGCCCACAACACACCTTTTTTCTCCTTCCCCTCCCGCTACGACATTCTGTAAACCAGGATTTGTAATTTCACGGGTTGGGTGAACCTAGCCCACTGCGGTTGCTTTTGGCTCGCCAGAGGCTTAATCAGCAGTGGCCATTTAACCCTGGTTTAGGGAAGCACGGTTAGGCAAGCCATCCGCTTGATCCAATGGGGGAGCACAACATTGTGCATGCCAAGGTCGAAGTTGCCAGCTTTGTGCCTGCAACCCTGAACTTCATTTTCATTCAACCTCATTTGCAGTTCAGTTGTCCCAAATTTTGAGATTTGGAGAGCGGGTTAGTTTTAAAGCCACAGAAGCCAGGCAGATCACATCTGCCATCTGATCAGCTGGCAACGTCAGTTGGCTCCCTTAAATCTCAGAAATAATGGCTGCTAATTTTAGACAGTTTCTTCAAACGCTCGCTTTTTTGCAAGCTGTCACCAAACACGTCGCGTCCTTCAGCTTCTAGCAGTTTGCCAGAGGGCAAATTCAGCCCTTGTGATATTTATTTCTTATTTATTTATTTTAATGTTTGGCTTTTTACAGTTAACAGTTAATGTGGGGTATTTGGAAACTGATGGCTAGTGCAACATCTTTCACATTTATTGCTGATGTGATTGGTTGCCCGGCTTGGCCTAGGACTGCATCCAGATGGATGGACATGTGACTCTGATTAAGGCTGGGGATGAGGACAGAGTGGTACTGGGAAATAGCAGGGGTGAGGAAGAAGGCACAAACAGAGTGAGGTCTGGGTAAGGTCAGGAGGAAAGGCGGAGATGTGTGGCTTTGGGGCAAAGATCGCACCACCCTTACAAAGAGCACGATTAAGCATGCTCTGGTTTAACAAAAGTCTGAGGGCTCTCTGAGGTTGCTTGTTTTCTTGCAGACATTTCATTATCCAGACTAGGTAACATCATCAGTGCTAGAAGGGAGTGGGTTTGTGGAGAGGAGGAGGAGGAGGAGGAGGAGGAGGAGGAGGAGGAGGAGGAGGAGGAGGAGGAGGAGGAGGAGGACTGTGGGGTCCTTGGTGCTCTCTGAGCCGGGTAGTTTTCTTGCAGATTTTTCATTACCCAAACTAGGTAACATCATCAGTGCTAGTCATGTCACCTACTTTGGGTCATGAAACGTCTGCAAGGAAATCACTAAGCTTACAGAGCACCAAGGACCCCTCATTTCAACCCTGAGATACAAATATTCTCGTTTATTGATTAAAGAAAGACAATTGCTCCAAATAGTTGGAGGAAAATCAGCTGAGTTCATTTCATTTGGCCATCTGCTGTTTTTAAAATCAGAACATCCGTCTTTGAGGAAGGACGACGAGATGGGTGAGGGCCATCATCAGCAGATAATATGATGGTTCTCAAGGCAGAATTTTCCCACCCACCCCCCAATCCCAGGGCTGCAATCTGTGGGCGTATCTCCAGAAGCTCCAAGTACTTGAAGATGGAACTGAGATGGATTCTTAAAAAGCTAAGCAAGTTCAGATCTGGTTAGGACGTAGAGGAAAACCTTCCAAAACAAAGAGGACCAAAGACTAGAAACCCTTTTCAAAACTTTCCTGAAGAAGGCCAGGCTAAGTCGCTTCTATAGGATTGCCAAGAAGACTCCTAGGAAAGCATCCATATGTTCACCAGGCATTGAACTTGACTTGAGGACGCTTCTATTAGGACTTGTTGAACGGCCCACGAGAAACATATATGAGGAAAGCAGGTTAGCTTGCAAAAGGAAACCTAGGTTTTCTGACCCCTCAAAATCTCCCTGTGGTTTGTAAGTCTTCCCATGGAGGACATCTTGTGCAATTGCCCATACGGGCTTCCTCATGCCACCTAATGGTAGAACCAGCCCTGGAGTCCCACCACTTGAGGCTTTCTCGTCATCCCCTCTCACCATGACAGCGTAGTAAAATCACGAAAGAGATGTCCATCTTGATTTAGTGCAAAATATTCCCGTCTCTTGACAGTATGTATCTTTGAGACAAACACGCATGGTTTGATTTCCTGATGTTCTCTTCTTCTGAATCACTCTGAGATAATAGTAGTCTTGAAAAAGAAAAAACTAATTTTTCACTAAGGGAAGGAGAGACTCCTTATACGCCTTTTCAGCATGCCTTGTCATTCCTGCACAAAGCATAAAACTCAGAAAAGTGGGTCTGTGTGTGTTTCTGTTCTTGCTGCCAAACCCACGGTGCCACCCTTTGGGAGCTGCTCTGCAGAACGTTCTGACCTAGGAGAGCTACCACTTTCTGAAACCTGGTGCCGTTCAGTGATTATTGCACGTAATTATTTTCTTAAAAGACCACAAAACGCAACATCCGACAAACCACACTAATTCCCAGGCATCCCTATGGCACTTGCATTGTTCTGCATACTTTTTTTGGGGGGAGAAGTTTGGTAAGAAGGAGAAAGGAGAGATCAAAGAAACTCTGCAAACACTTAGGCAGCCCCCCCCCCGGAGTCATATTTCTGATTCTCTCCGATAGGACCTTTGATCAAGAGATCCTACAGAAGTTGGCAGCCTATCAAATTCAGGCTGGTCAACTGAGCACGGATTGTCCAAACCTCTGCAGTCTTCATCTTCCTCCTCTACTTCCTCCTCTTCCTCCTCCTCCTCCTCCTCCTCCTCATCACGGCTCATAAGGGCAAGCTCGTTCTCGTAACAGAAGGAATTGGTGCTGGGAAGCAGGAATTTGTTCTCCACCAAATCCTTGGCACTGCAACAGGGAGTCGACGGGACCTCATAAGTCTTGTGGAAGTGTGAATAGTCCACTTTGTATTGGTTTTTCTCCTCAAAGAGGACGGGTTCAAAACGGTGGCCCCAGAGGATCTCACTGGACAGGTACGAACTCCGAGCTTGGGTGGTCATTGCCGTGGCCTCCACCATGCCTTCCAGGATCACCACAATCTCAAAATCATCCATCTCCATTTCTTGCCGACTGATCCCAAAGAGGGGGCTCTCCTCGTTGATCTCGTGAAGGATCGTCAAGGGGGAGACCAGAAAAATACGGTCCAAGCCTTTGTCAAACCCAACATCTATGTCAATCTGGTCAAGGGGGATGTATTCCCCCTCCTCGGTGATCCTGGATTTCAGGAGCTGGGCTCGGACGTGAGCCTCAACAATGTGACTTTTGCGAAGGTTGCCCACTCTCCACATCAAGCAAAGCTTGCCGTCCCTCATGGCCACCACGGCATGGTGGCTGAAGAGTAACGTTTCAGCTCTCTTCTTTGGCCTGGCCATTTTGGCCATGATGGCCCCAATCATGAAGGAGTCAATGATGCACCCTACAATAGACTGAAGGACCACCATGAAGACGGCCAGGGGACACTCCTCGGTCACACAACGGAAGCCATAACCGATGGTCGTCTGAGTCTCAATGGAGAAGAGGAATGCAGCCACAAAGCCGTTCACCTGCAGGAGACAAGGGGTAAAGGTTTCATCCTTAGTGGGCTTCTCAATGTCCCCGTGGATCAGGGCAATCAGCCAAAAGATGAGGCCAAACAATAACCAGGACACCAGGAAAGCAAGGGAGAAGAGCAGCAACATGTATCTCCAACGGATGTCCACGCAGGTGGTGAACATGTCGGCGATGTATCTCTGAGGTTTATCATCCATGTGGGTGAATTCGACATTACATTGGCCGTTCTTCTTCACAAATCTATTCCGGCATTTCTTCTGAGTGTGGATCTTACCGTTGCCAAAGCCATTCACTCCGGGCATGGTGGTCAAGATCAAGCCGTCTTCCTCAGAAGACACAATGCTGTAAGGGTTGAGTCTGCCTGTACTCATCCCTGAGTTAGCCTGTTGTAACTCTGGATGTCTTTCGGGGCCTCGCTTTGCTGCCAGAGAAACGGAAGGAGATCCCCAGCTTTACGTGTAAACAGGCAGGTAGATCCAAGCAAAGTCTCTGCAACAAAACAACAACAAAAAAGTTGGATTATTACAGGTAGTTCTCGATTTACAACTGTTCATTTAGTGACTGTTTAAAATTACAGTGGCAACAAAAAAAGGAACCGTTTTTCTCACGACCGTTGCAGCACCCCATCATGATCACGTGATCAAAATTCAGGTGTTTGGCAACTGACTCGTATTTATGACGGTTGCAGTGTCCCCTTTTGCGACCTTCTGACCAGCAAAGTCAATGGGGAGGCCAGATTCACTTCACAACTGTGTCACTAACTTCACAACCACAGCGATTCCCTTAACAATTGTGGCAAGAAAGGTTGTAAAACGTAGCAAAACTCGGTTAACAAATGTCTCGCTAAGCATCAGAAATTTGGGGTTTAGCTGTGGTCGTAGGTTGAGGACCACCTGTATCTCACAAAGAAGCTTTGGATAGTTTTGCTATTCTTGGCAATTCTTGTTTTGTGGGGCACATTAAGGGAAAAAAAAAAAACAGTTATCCCACTAACACAACTATCATACATCTAACTCTGGCTGTGTCTTCATCCACTATGCGACTCACTCTGTTCATTCAGGAAATAATTCCACATTTTCTCCCCCCCCCCTTATGTCTTCTTCCTGATCCTGGTAGTCCTCGTTTAGAAACTGCCTGATTTAGTGACCATTCATAGTGATGGCAGTGATGAGAAATTCAATTTGTGACCAGTTCCCGCATTGATAACCTTCACAAGCCCGTAAAGCAAAGTTGAAGTCAGATCATGAGCACCGTTGTGGTTTCATTTAGCAACCGCTTTGAATAAGGACCAAATGGCCAGTCCCAATTGTGGTTGCTAAACGAGGACTCCGTGTATACCTCACCTCTCCAACTTCCAGACCCCAAATCGTCCACAACTGGAGATGGTGGACAGCTCTTATAACGGATTCGAAAGCCGAGCACAGTGTGTTAACACAGCCAGAGTGTGACACATTACACACTCAGTATTAAACATAGGACAGGGTGGAAGATTGTTCTTTCTTTAACTGATGGGGCTTCTCAGTGTGAATAAGCGAACAGATACTAGATTTTGGCAGCTCATCAAAGGCCTGGCTTTTGTCTAGATGCCTACTGTCAGCAGAGTCGCCACATCCAAGCTGACAGTTAGAACAATTAATCAGTGGGACAACCTCGGGGATGCTGCAATGGTTGTAACTGTGAAAAACGGTCCTAAGTCATTTTTTGAGATCCTGTTCTAACTTCAAACGGTCACTAAACGAATGGTCATAAGTTGAGGACTACTTGTATAAAATGTGCTTTTTAACCACCGCTGGTGGACACCCCCACAAGAAACCAAATAGAACAAACTGCCACCCTTTAGACCTAAACAAGCTTCCTTAAATTAAGATACATCTCTTCCCCCCCCCCTGGTTTTTTTTTGCCCAGTCATTTCTGCTTTTGTGGCATTCCAGCTGGCACCAACCTCTGGAGGAAGGGGGAACAAAATGGAGAGAAAAAGCTGAAATTGACCAACGGGTCTATCACGAGTGGGCAACCCGAATGTTCTGCAAGCCGGGAGCTATTCCCTAGCTTTTCGAGCAGCTGACCGGAGGCTAAATCTGATTTTGCTGAGTTTACATTTTAATTAACATTAAATTACATTCAGTCAACCTGATTATCTCCGTCTATTTAAAAACCCTCGGCCTTCTGTCACCTTAAAAATGACAAGCCGGCCATGGCTTTCGGGGGTGTGTGTATGTGTGTGTTGTGGCTGTGGGATTCAGACTCGTGGATTTTTTGCTCTCCCGGGGTGGGGTGGGGGGTGGAGGGGTCTTGAGATTGCTCCCCCTCCTCACATTAGCGGATGTCTTCAAAGGGGGCAGTAAAAAGTAGGCCACAGGGCTACCTTTAGCACTCAAGCCTTGTTCATTCCACCCCCAAAAAAGAAGGCTATTCCCCAGGGGCTTCATTAAAAATTCTTTTGCCCCCAACAGAAAATGCTTTTTTGTTTGTTTGTTTTGTTTTGCCTAACTGTGTTTGTTTTTTAAATGGAGCAAATCGGGATTCTTTGCTCGGTCTTCCAGAGGCCCAACAAAGGCTGGTCTTTAGCACCCTGCTGAGAAATGGAGAGAGGAGAAGGTCCGTTTTTTTAAGGAGGGTCTTTCAAGAGGTTGAGCCTGGAGGGCCTCCATTAGTCGGCCTGGGTTAAAAATGAGAAGGGAGTAAAATCCACTTTGGCTCAAGGTCCATGTGGTTGCTTTGACAGTGACATGGAAGTTGTAGACGTCCCCGTTATTATTTTATTCTGCTTTTTTAAGGCATTTGGGTCAACTCAAGAAGTGGGCGTGCTTAATATTTCTACCCCGTCCTGTTTTCCCCCACAATCACCCTGTGAGGTGGGTTGGGCTGGGAGAGGGATCGGCCCAAAGTCCCCCGGCCAGCTTGCATGCCTAAAGCAGGACTAGAACTCCCTGTCTCCTGGTGATTGACACAAAGTCACCCATCTGGCTTTCATGGCTAAGGTGGGACTAGAACTCACCGTCTCCCGGTGATTGGTCCAAAGTTCACCCATATGGCTTTCATGCCTGAGGCAGGACTAGAACTCACCCTCTCCTGGTGATTGGTCCAAAGTTACCCAGCTGGCTTTCATGCCTAAGGTGCGACTAGAATTCACCCTCTCCTGGTCATTGACACAAAGTCGCCCAGCTGGCTTTCATGCCTAAAGCGGGACTAGAACTCACCACATCTACTGATTTCTCAGCCAGCACCTTCACCACTACACCACACTGGGGTCCCCATTATTGGCAAATGGCTTCTTCCCGGAGCGTTTCTGGACTTCCCTATCCAGGTTACGTTGCTGGGATTTCCTGATGGCGACCCATCCCTGCCGGAACTGAACGCCTCTTTTTGAGACCAGCTCTTCCGTTCCTTCCACCCCACACCCTGACTCCACTTTTCCTCCAGCGTAGACAAAGTCGCAAGAGGTGACTCACAAACTCTTCTCCTTGGGAAGGCCTTCTGCCTGCGACAACTGTGTGCCCCTTGGACGGTTGGGCTGGATTCACGCCCTCATCTGCACTTTTTGAACCGTACAAATTGCTTATTCTAATGCTCGCATTTTATTCTTTTTTTTCCCCTATTGGCTTCTTTGCACCAATAGTTATCCCATTCTCCCTGAAAAATGCATAAATAGTCAATAGATGGAAGCTTGTAGAGATCTTCTACCACTCCCCCCCCCCAAAATATTGAAACAATTCCTAGAAAACCATTGATCGTTGGACTGCTGTGCCTTGAAATCTGATCGTTTCTAATCCTCAAGCATAATTTGATGGCTTCCTCTGCTAGCAGAGCTGGGCAACTGGCTTCCTTCCTCCCTCTTCCCCAAAACTCTGGGTCTGGTTTAATCGATCCCTCGCAAGAGAGAAATAAATAAAAAACAAATCTTTAGCACGAAGCTCCTTCGATAGACAAGCTCCCCCAGCAAGAACAAAAAAAATAATAATAATTTGGTCGGAAAAAAGAAACAGAAGGAAGACGAAGTGCCAGGGACACCCTCACCCACCGCATTCAGGAGTGTAAAACTGGTGGTGGGAGTTGCAGGAGATGCTTGGAGGGGGGGGGAGGCAGAGATCATAGGTTTCAGGGGAACAAGGCAGAGTCACCCCTCTTTTCTCGGATTGCCAAGGAGAAAGGGGCAAAACCCGAAAGACAGCGCTTGTAAGGGCCGATCTGCTGTGGAGGTTGAAGCACGTTTTCTGGGAGGAGATGACGTTCTTGAGGCTGGCAGCACCGGATAGTAGTGCATTGTGGAGGGCTTTCAGGGTTGTGTGTCAGTGGGACAGGATGCACAACGGGGACAACAAACCCACAGGACTCAGCGGTCTTCATTAAGACTGCCTTTGTTGAGAACAACTCAACAGGTTCCCAACGGGGGAACCAAGGAACCTCGGAAGATTTCCAAAAAGAGAAAAGTTCAGAAGCTCAGGAGAATAGAATAGAATAGAATAGAATAGAATAGAATAGAATAGAATAGAATAGAATAGAATAGAATAGAATAAGAAAGGAATAGAATAGAATAGAATAGACAGATTGTAGAATGGAATAGAATAGAATGGAATGGAATGGAATGGAATAGAATAGAATAGAATAGAATAGAATAGAATAGAATAGAATAGAATAGAATAGAATAGAATAGAATAGACAGATTGTAGAATAGAATAGAATAGAATAGAATAGAATAGAATAGAATAGAATAGAATAGAATAGACGGCCATTTGTCTGAAGTGGTCTAGGATTTCCTGCCTGAGCAGGGGGTTGGACTAGAAGACCTCCAAGGTCCCGTCCAACTCTGTTATTCTGTTATATTGAAAGGGGTCTGTCCTGCAAAGCTCCTTTGCCGCCAACTCATGTTTTACTCCTGATCTACAGACCCTCCAAATGTGTTGGAGAAACTGAAATATTTGGAACCAATTACTCGGTCTGCAGTTCTAGGGCCCCCAAAATAGCTCAGATGCCTTTCTCTCTTTAGCTTATCCTCCAGAGCATTTCCTTCCTGCTGCATTAAAAATGGAACTGCTCCGCGCAGTGGCAGTTCGATTGCAAATTAGAGTTTCTTGCTGAGTCAGCAGTGATGGGCACGCGCTTTCGGCCCCAGGTTTTTTTCTCTCTCAAGAAGCTGGTGGTAAATTTCACAAACAGGTTCCTGTGCAAATCGGCAAACTTTCATTTTATTTTCTTAACCAGATTTTTTTTTAAAAAAAAGATTAAATCTCTTTAGGGTTATATTTGAGTTTAGGGTGACTTCATGGTTATCCCCAAGCCCAGGGATAGGCAACCTTGGCTCTTTTATGACTCATGGACTTCAACTCCATGTTTTTCAGCTTGCCTGGTCTAGCCATCATTCCTGGCCCATCCTGGTTCTTTTTCATCAAAGTATGAACCATTATCTAGCTCTTCTCCAGATTCAGCTGAGTAGACGCTGCTACCTAATTATCAGACTGACAGACAAAGGTTGGCAGTTGGGGGGGGGT